GGGGCAGGATTTGGTGCACAGAGCCCGGGCGGGGCAGAAGGATTCTCCCTTCTACAGGGTCCATGTAGAAGACCTCCCAGACCACAAAAACCTTTTTACCCTCATCTCCAAGGTCCTCAGCCAGCTCCATGAGGTGGGCCAGGCACGGGTTAGAGCTCATCTTACAGACAAGGACCCGAGGGCCCCTGCGAGTCACCCTCTGGCTGGACGCGTCACGGTGGACAGGCAGGGCGTGGAGCGAAGCTGAGCCTGGGGGGCTTTCATAGGAGCCACGGCTCCAGCCCTCTTGGCCGCCGCTGGGGCCCATGGCCAGGCCTGCCTGAGCCTGGCCTTGTCCAGCCCACAGCATGGAGCCTGACAGGCCAAGATGGAGCAGCCAAGGTAAACAGAGGTTTCCCACCTCACCACCGCGCGCCAGGGGCAGGAGGGAATTCCAGGGCAAGCCCCGGCACGCTTCCCACTGGCTCAGGGGCGGCAGCTGCCAAAATGCTCCTGGCCTCCCCCTACCCCTCCGGGGGCCAGGACTTTGTGCTCCCCGCGCCCCTGTGCTCTACCCCTCACGGGTAGGAGGGACCCAACTGGGGAAGCGTCGGGAGACATGGAGGGTCAGAAACAGGAAGACATTGGTCCAGACGTAGAAGACCTGAACCCAGGCGCCATAGCAACTTTGTTCATCGTAGCCCCACGCTGGAAACAGCCCAAATGTCCATCAACAGTGGACAGACAGACAAACAGCGTGTGCCCCCCAGTGCAGTACTTCTGGGCAATAAAAAGAAACATGCCCATATATGCAGCAGCCCGGACGGCGCTTAAATCCCCAGTGCCGCGTAAAAGAAGCCAGACACAAAGAGCAAATACTGTGCGATTCCACCTCCATGAGCTTCTAGAAAAGGCAAAACAAATCTGCAGCAACGAAGCGCAGGTCGCCAGGGGCTGGGGGCTGAAGGAAGAGTGATAGCGGAGAGACAGGAGGGAACGTTCCGCGGTGGCAGATGGCGGGGGGCGTGCAGGGGGTGATGTGCATTTGTCAAAGCTCATCAAACTGTCTAAAATGCGCACATTGTAATTGTATGTAAGGTATACCTCAGTACAGTCTGGGAAAAAAAAGGTGACAGGGAGGCTCCTGGTGGCGGGGGAACGCAGCTGCCACCAGGGTGCAGAGGGGTCGGCATCCTCAGAAGGTGGGGAGGACACCAGCCTCCCGAGGGGTGCTCAGTGGCAGTGTTGGAGGGGCAGGGAGGAGGAATTCCCCACACTCCGGGGGTAGGAGCAGGCTGGAGACTCCGAGGAAGTAGCCCAAAGGGAGGAGCGGGGCGGGGGGGGGGGTGCCGCCTTGGGCACTCAGGAGGAGGAGGCTCCGGCAGGTCCTGGCTCCTGGGAGGCGGAAAAAGAAACCGGAGAAGCGGGACAAAGTCTGGGCCAGGGGGAGAAGTCAACCTGGGGGACCCCCACTGCAGCCACACCACGGGTGCCTTCCCCCCAGCCTCCCCGAGACAGTGCCTGTTAGGCCGGCCCAGGGCCTGTTCCCACCAGCATCGGAGGGGCTGCGGTATTCCGTGACTCCCTTGGACACCAAAGGAGGCCCAGGTAGTGCGGGGGATCAGGCTGAACTCTGCGGGCAGAGTTGTGGCCCTGCGACCTTGGAACTCTCTGGGGCTAAGGAGACCCACTGGAGCCTGTGCCGACCCCGCTGAGGGCCGGCCTGGCCCCCAGGACAGCGCAGGCCCCTCCACCCCCTGCAGAACCGCTAAATTTAGCCAGGGAGGGAGGCTGCCCTGGGGCCGAGTGTTTGGCAGCACAGCCTTGCCTCCCTACAAGGCCTGGCCAGTGCCCAGACTGGCCACCCGGCCTTTGGGCTTATAAGGCTGGTCTGGACAGTCCCAAGTGCTGGAGTCTTGGGGTAGGCTCTGGGCCAAGCTCTCAGACTTTGGGGAACCTCCTTCCTGGCCACCAGCAGACATGGAGCTACTTGCGGGTGACCTTGGGCAAGGCATTCAACTTGCAGAGCCTCAGTTTCCCTATCTGTAAAATAAGGATTCTAGAACATACCTCACAGGGCAGTTTTTTAAAAACCTCCTGAGCATGAAGGCACTCTGGTCCCTATAAACCGTCACCCGTGCCCTGGCCACCTCTGCCCCCGACACCACCAGGAATACACACAGGGGTCTGTCCCTGGGATGCTGGAGTTGGGTGCAGGGGCAGGAAAGGATAGGCCTCAGATGGAAAGGTATGGCTTAGAACCAGTGAAAGAGCTCTGGCCTGTGGGGCTCAGCTGGTGGGAGCATCATCCCATAGCCAAAAGTTTACGGATTCAGTTTCTGGTTGGGACACATACCTTTGTGGGTTTGCGTGTTGTAGGTTTGATCAAAGGTCCAGGTGTGTATGATCCCTGGTCTGGGCACGTGCATGAAGGAAATCAATCAATGTTTCTCTCTCCCTTCTTCTCTTTCTAAAAGCAGTGAGCAAAAGGTCCTCGGGTGAGGGTAATAAATAAACAAACAAACAAATAATTTATTCATTTATTAAAAAAAAGAAGAAGAAAAACCAGTAAAAGAGACATTGACTTTATCAGCTGAAAAGACACTTGGGCAGAGAAAAGTAATTGCTTTCATTTCTTTTTCTGTTGGGCCCGTTTTGGATGCGATAACAACCCCAAACGAGACAGCCCTCCTTGCCAATCCGTTTTCTGAGTGTCGGGGCCAGGACCGAGGCGATAACCGCAGTCCATGCGTGTACTCCAAGCAAGCCTGTCTCAGGGGCGAAGGGGACCCACTCGAGCCTGTGCCCACCCCCTTGAGGGCCTGGTTGGCCCCCAGGAAGGGCATTGGTCCCCTCTACCCTCCACAGAGCTGCTAAATTTAGCCAGGCAGGGCAGGCCATCTGTCCTTTGGTCCATCTGCCCGTCAGCAAGCCTGGATCCTTGGAGGAGTAGGAGGAGGAGGTGGAGGAGAAGGAGGAGGTCACAGTAACGGCATGAAAGAAACAGACACAGATTGGAGAATAACTGCCTGACTTCTTCCCTCCCTCTCCAGCCGCTCCCCCTCCCCGCCCGATCCCCTCCCCCTCACTTAGCACCTGCTGCCCCGCCCCCCGAGTGTGGTGTGCCCCTGGGGATGTGTGAGTGGAGTGGGACACAGAGATGGCTCAGACAGTGTCAGCGTCCGCCCTGCCCCCATCACAAGCAGTTCATGCCCTGGGGCCTGCTATTCCAAGTGCCAACAGGGTCAGCAGGGAAGAGCGCAGGCCCTTTTGTCCGGGGTCAGGACTGGGCCAAGGGGATGTGGCCACTGCAGAGCTGGCTTCCAGCATCTCTGGAGTTTTCGTTAGAAAAGTCCAGGATGTGGTTCTCACTGGTCTCCTTGAAGGTGGCGTCGGACAGACCACTGAGCTTGAGATTAGCAGGAACTCCGTGGGAGTGAGACTGATCTGATAGGGCCGACTGACCTGAGGTGCTGGGGCCATGGGCCCGCCTTCTGTGCGGCCCCTCGCCATCCAGAAAGTGGCTTTGCTCAGACAGGAAACTGGGGTTCCCAGCCCCGGGCCTGGCTCCCTGACCAGAGTGATTTCCTGGCTAAAGGCCAGCCAGGAAGAAGACTCTTATCAGCCTTCAGGGTGGGGCAGCTTGGACTTGGGGGAGGCGGGGACTCTGAGGACACCTCCCACCTTCAGAGGGAGCCCTGAGGACACTCAGCCTGGGTCTCTGGCTGGCCAGAGAGGCTTCCTGCCTCGAGCTGCGTCCTTCAGTACAGCCCAGGGTGAGCTTGAGCCACTCGTGTCTCCTCTCTGAGCTCCACGTTCTTTACCTGCAAACAGCTAAGGGTTGAGGGAGACCTCCAGCTCTAAGGGATGCCCACCCATCCCAATCCTGGGGACACCTGCCTTCAGGGCCTGGGTTGGGGTCAAGGGCAGGGGCTGCAGAGGAGCTGTACCCTAAGCTCTACAGTGGCTTCGAGTTCCCCGGACTCAGTGTTGTCAGGACACACCCCCCAGGGGAAATCCCGTTATCAGGCCCATTTCACAGATAAGGAAGCAGGCTCAGAGGGGACAGGCAACCCTCACGGGCAGCAAGTGGCAAAGCCATCGATGGTGACTGAACCCGCTTGATGTCGGGCTTCCCTGGCTGGGTCTCAGGAAGCCTGATGGTGATGTGTGACATATATGGTCCTTGCCTTGTCTGGGCACATGCCTCCCTCTGCTCATTTCGGGAGGTGGAGGCATGGCTGGGACAGGGTTGATGGTAAGAGAGGTCAGGGAACAGAGATGCCAACCTGACACTGAGGTTGACTGGACACAAGCCAGGCTCGGCGTCAGAGGGATGGTGGATGGAAGGTGGTCTACAAGCGCAGGGGTGGGAGATCCCGCCATGGGACCCGGAAGTATCAGGCAGCTGGACCGGAAGAGGCCCTTTTCCTCTCCGGCTCACCGCGGTGCAGGCTCCCAGGGGCTGAACTCCCCACCTAGGGGAAGAGGCAGGGTGGGAGGATGTTTGGATATGGGGATGGGTCCCTGGTTTGGGAGGGCTCTGCAGCCACTCCACCCAAGGCCTGGCCCGAGCCCCGAGTCCTGTCCTGTCAGGTTCACAGAGGGCTGACAGCTTTATCTTTGCCTTGTGACTGGTGGCCCGTGGTTTCCTGCCAACAGCTCCTGTTTCCGGAGGCCCAGCAGGGCCCAGGCAGAGCCAGGAGGGGCAGCGGGGCTGGGCCTGGGTGGCCCTACCAGCCCCGCCCCCCTCCATCTTTGGGAATTTATTTGTCCAGAGGCGCGGCTGTCCCACAGTCCCTGCCAGGGACCAAGAGCAGCTCTGATCACCCAAGGATTCTCCCTCCCAAACCAAACCCCTCCAAGTGACCTCTGACTCCTGACCCCTGGACCCACCTGCCCTGCTCTGCCCTTTGTAAGGGGCTGGGAAGCCCCCAGAAAATCCACTGTGGGAGTGGGCATTTGCTCACTAGAGGACAAAGGCTGCGTGGGGCTCAGCCCTCAGCCCCCAGCCGCCCAGCATGGCGCGGCGGCTCCAGGACGAGCTGGCCGCCTTCTTCTTCGAGTACGACACTCCTCGAATGGTACTCGTGCGCAACAAGAAGGTGGGCATCATCTTCCGCCTGATCCAGCTGGTGGTTCTGGTCTACGTTGTTGGGTGAGTCTGGGCCCCTCCCTGCTGCCCTCTCAGACCTGGGCCTGCCCTCTAGGCTCTGGGATGTCCCAGGACTCCAAGGAGCCCCTCTTTCTTTCCATTGGTTGTTATCCTTCCTGCCACTCCTTCCTGAGAAGGAGCTGAGGCCCACTAACTCACTGCCAATATGGGGGCACTGAGGCACAGAGCAGCAACCTCGTCCTGGGTCTTCTGGTGAACAAGAGGCAAAGCCGCTGGGTTCTCAGGAACTGCCTCACTAGTAACGAACGGTTCTGTCCAGCGGTGAGCGGTTTTGGAGGCCAAGGCCCCAGTGAGCCACAGCGGACTCCCTTCACCTCTGACCTCCCAGCCAAGCCAGGCTGTACGAGGAGGCAGAGGCCATGCTCCATCTGACGGGTCCTGCCCCCACCGGCCCTGCCAAAATGAGAGGCATCCTGGGATAACAGATCCCTGGAGCTAAGAAACCCTTGTGTTTGAAACACCTGGTGCCTTAATGGGAGCATAGGCAAAGGTTGGAGGTCATTCTGGTCTCAGGGATGACAGATCCTTTCTGGGCATCTTGGGACCTGTCCCCTTGGCCCAGGAGCACAGGGACAGAAGCGAGGTGGGACTCCCCTGCGGCCTGGATGTTCTAAGGACTGTGCCAAGCCCATCGTCCTCAGGTCAGCCTGAAGGTGCTCGGAGCCCAGGCCAGCCTGGCGGGGGTCTGCACACATGTGTGCTTGTGTGAGCACATGTGTGCGTAGTGTGTGGGTGCACGTGTGTTGTACTCAGAGCTCTGTGCAGGCACCTGTGCCCTCATGTGTCTGGGTGTGTGCCCAATGGGCATGGCCTCCACGTCCCCGATTTTGCTGTGGGACCAAACCAGGACAGCCAGCAGGCTCCCAGGCAGGTGTAGCAGAGTCCTGGTTCCCCCAGGGCCTCTGGCATCCAAAACAGCCTGCTCTCCACCCCGCCAGCCCCCAAGGCCAGAGGCTGGTCAGGTAGAGCAGGGCCAGGTGAATGACGCCTTTCGGCTTCTGCCTTTCTCTTGTTCACAAACCAGTTTGACATCTGCAATGTCCTTTGAGCTTGTGAGGGAGATTGAGGCTCAAAGGGGAACAGCGGGGTTTCCAGGTCACACAGCGAGTCAGCTGCAAGTCCCAGTGAGAACGGAGGCTCCCTGCCGGTCCCCAACCCGGCCTCGGCTCCGCCTTCCCCTTCCTCACCTCACGGGGGCTCCTTTCTAATGGGGCACTGACGGTGTGATGCCTGGCACAAGACGGGCCTGGAGATCCACAGTTAGCCATGCTTCTGACCGCCCGCCCACCCCTCACCCAAAGAGGCTGGGCGAATGTTGTCCTCACTGTGGCCCTTAGGCTCCCTGTGTCTGCTCTCTGGTCAGCACTGGGAGCAGCGCCAGGGCCTCTTGTGTGTTGGTCAGACTGTCAGAGAGAAAGGGACAGCCTCTCACCCCACCCTGATTCCAGCGTATGCCCAAGCCGCCGTTCAGTCCTGCATACACACCTCCAGTGACGGACCTCACTACCTTACTCCTTCCCTTCCTTCTCCTCTTCCTCCGTCCCAAACAGCCTACACAGTTTCCAAATAGATGCGGTCTTCTCAGCATGAGTGAGGCTCAGAGACACTGAGTGATTTAGCCTGGATCTCACAGCAAGGGAGAGGGTGAACCAGGGTTTGAATCCAGTTGTGTGGTTCCAAAATTGGTCTTGATACCCCAAAAGGGAAACCAACTCAGGGACCCTTCACCCCCAAGCCAGAGCAAAGCAAGGAAGCAGGGTTTCTCCAACACCCGTCAACCCCTCCCTCAAGTCGGCCTTCTGCTCTTACTTGGGCTGCGACTCCTGCTGTCTCTGGCGCCCTCGTCTGGCCATCGCCCACAGCTGCACTGACCGTTCAACTAGGAGCCCACAGCTGCCAGAAGAAGCCAGCCTGGATTTGGACTTACTCTCTCAGTCCTCAATTTCCCAACTGTTCCACGGAGTAGGGGTGGGGGGAAACTCTTCTAAAGTCATTGCATGGAGGTTCAACAATTTCTCTTTTCTGGAAAGGATGCCTTTCTTTAATTACCCCCCGGGGTGGGGGTGTCCCCACCCCCGCACACATACACCTCTTTCCAAAGCCCCTGCCTGTCAGAATGTCCGGAGTTGCAGGGGGACACAGGGGAAGCATGGGAGAAATGCCAGGCTCACAGGCACCAGAGACAGGGGCACAGCCCAGGTGGGGGATGGGCAGCCGCAGAGACAGAGCTGGCAAAGGGACAGATCCTAAAGCACAGCCACTCAGATGGAGAGAGAGACTTTGAGAGTCAGAAATGGAGAGAGAGTTACTGAGGCAGAGGCAGGGAGGCTGAGATGCTGAGAACATAAACGGATTCCGAGGAGAGGAGCTGAGGCTACGTTCTTTCTCTGTGACACTGTTCCGGAAGTCCATGGCACGTGGAGAGAATAGGTGGGTCCAAGGCCCTGGCAGGCTGAGCAAAGGCTCTTTTTGACTCAAATTATGCCGGTGAATTTGTAGTCAGAGCTGACTCCTGGGCAGTAATGAGCTCCCCATAACTGGAGGTGTGCAGGCAGCGGGGGTCTCCTCCATGATCTGGCAGGCCTATCAAGGGGTGTGCTGAGACATGTCCCTGCCTGGCTTTGGTCTGGTGAGGGGAGGAGAAAGATCTTTCTGTGGCACTCAGGAGAGTCCCAAGGGGATTTGTGAATGCTGCTTGGGGAGGGGAGCCTGGGAAGGCTTCCTGGAGGAGGTGACACAGGGTGGCACCAATCTTGAACAAAGGCCTGGGGGCTCTTCCTCACTTCAGTCCTCACCCCTTCCCTGAGCCCCGACATAGAGCTCTTGAAGTCATGTGCTTCTGAGACCTCCAAGCAGGGCCTGAAGCACGCCGACCAGGAATAAGGACAGATGCAATTTATGGCTGGGAGAAGCGTATCTGGAGACATTTCTTCTACAGCATCTTTTCCGTGCCTAATGCTGTGTTGGGCTTCATGGCACAGAGGTGGGGACCGGGTAGGCAGAGGGAGAGCAAAGAGGTGAGGATGAGTTAGCCAGAACTCCTTTGGTTCCTAGAGATAGAAACCTGTTCAAACTGTATTTTAAAAGAGGGGAATATTAATTGATTTATGTAACTGAAAAGCCAATGCGGGCCTCAGGCCTGGCTGGAGCCTCCGTGATGAGGCCACAGGAGGAGCAAGCCCCGCCTCTCTCCCCCGGGAGATGAGGAGCACCGCCCGGCCCGTTGGGCTCCCTGGTGAGCTAGCCAGGGTCTCCTTCCTTCTCTGCTCTGCTGTCCTCCGGCGGTGGGCTTCATTCTGGGGCAGGCTCTCTGTCCTCACGGTGGCAAGTGGCCCCCAGCAGCTCGAAGCTGACATCCCACCCACGTGGCCTCCCCTAGGGCACGAGAGCATCTCCTCCAGAGTTCCGGCGCGAGCCCTGGGAAGGCCCCGACTGGTGCGGCTCCGATGGCTGGAAGTCCTCCAGCAAACCGGAAGGTCGCTGGTTCTCTTCTCGGTCAGGGCGCGTGCCTGGGTTGTGGATTCAGTCCCGGGTTGCGGCACATTAGAGAAGCAGCCAGTTGATGTTTCTCTCACACATCAATGTTTCTCTCCCTCTCTTTCTCTCTCCCTTCCCCTCTTTCTAAAGATAAATAAATAAATAAATAAACATCCTGAGTCCAACTCTTACTGGCCTAGGTTGGGCCACGTACCCAATCATTGTGGTCCAGGACACGAACACTCTGATGGGTGGAGCCTGGTTGTCCGCCCACCTGGTCCAAACAGCCCTGCTGGAAAGCAGAGTGTGATCAAAGGTTTCGGAGCAGGACCTGGCCGGTGTGGCTCCGTTGGTTGAAGCGTCATCTGGTAACTGAAGGGCTGCAGATTCAATTCCCAGTCAGAGGATGTACAGCTGGTGACCAGTCAATAATTCTCTCTCACATCGATGCTTCTCTTTCTCTGTTCCCCTCTCCTTTTCCCTCTCTCTAAAAGCAATGAGAAAAAGTAATCTCAGGTGAGGATAAAAAACCAAAATTTTAATTAAAAAAGGAGAAAAGGTCCTGGAACAGGAAAGGGACAATAAAAGAGTCATTAGGGCTATGCTGGGGGAGCATGAAGGGATCCAAGGGAGAGCTGAGCAGGGGCTGCTGGCTCGGGCCTCCGAGCGTGGGCTTTCTCCTGCGGGCGGCAGGAGTCACGGAAGGGTATCTAGCAGGGGAAGGCCCGGGGTGGGTAGGTGCGTGTGGGGGCAGAGGCCAGGGGTAGGATGGCCGTGAAGAAGCAACAGTGATAAGAGGAGAGGATGAGGCCAAGGGAGAAGCAGCAGGCAGGGAAGACGGAGGTCATCACCACAGCAGGCCCACACCGGGGGCGGCCGCTGCTCAGCTTCCGCACGTCATGGCTTCAGGGGCGTATGCCCAGCATGGCCAGGGTTGCTGACTTCTCAAGAGTAGTGGGAAACTGGAATTTATGGGTGAAAGAAACCTCTTGGTTTTTAGACGTTGGCAACATATTAAAAAATGTAAAGACACATATTGTCACCCTGACTTGTCTGTAGACTGCCTATTGATTAACCTCTGAGCCCCCAGCTCTGAACTTACTCCCTTCCTGGCTTGGAGTCTGGCTTTGGCCGTCCCCAAGTCTGCTCTGCCCCGTAGCCCGTGCCAGGCCTGGTCACCTCCTGCCTGGGGCCCGTGTTATACCCCCTGTCCCACCTGCCACAGGCCTGTCGTCCCAGCCCTGTGGCGGAGCTGCCCGGCACGCGCCCCGGCCCCTCAGCCTCCCACAGCTGACCCCTCGGGTCTGCAGAGGAAAGCGCGGGGAGGGCAGGAAAGACGGAGGCACCCAAGGCTGCGCGCACAGAGGACGTGGAGGGCGTGAGGACGGCGCCGGGTTGTGAGCCTGGGCCTCCCATCTTCCATGGGCGCCATCTTCCATGGTGAGGGCTCCAGAGGAACAAGTTCTGTCGGCAGAGGGGGCATCAGGTTGGTTCCACTGAATTTTTAGTTTGAGATATAATTCACCTGCCATCACACTCCCTTTTTAAAGTACACAATTTGGTGAGTTTTAGTATAATCACAAATTTGTGCAACTATCACTGCTATCTAATTCCAAACACTCACTAATCCAAAAAACCCCCACCTTGTGCCCCTTAGCAACCTCTCTCCCTGCCCCCACCCCATTCTCTACTTTGCCTGTTCTGGACATTTCGTATAAATAAAATCATACGATATGTGGTCTTTTTTGTCTGGATTTTTGCCTTAGCATACTGTTTGTAAGATCCATCCACTTTTTAGCATGTTTCAGGACTTTCTTCCTTGTTATGGTTGAGTAACAATTCCATGATGTGGATCAACCACGTTTTGTTTATCCACTCATTGGCTGATGGGCATTGGGGTTGTTTCCAGTTTTGTTTATCATGAATAATGTTGTCGTGAGCATTCATGTACAAGTTTCTGCATGGACACAGTGTCAGGTCTCTTGGGTAGGCGGCTATGCGTGGAATTGCTGGGTCAAATGGCAACTCTATGTTTAACTTTGAGGAACTGCCAGAGTTTTCCCAAGGGATCTACTTAAGGTTGAGGTACCTGTGGGATGTCTGGGAGGGCGCCGGGGCAGAGGGAAGGAATGTATGTCACCAGGCAGCGGGAGATGTAGACATCTATGTACTGGAAGTTCCTTGAGTGCAGACCTTTAGGCTGTTTTGTTTAATTCTGTATCTTAATTTTATTTTTAAAACATTTTATTTCTTTATTTTTAGAGAGAGGGGAAGAGAGGGAGAAAGAGAGGGAGAGACAAACATCAATGTGAGAGAGATGCATCGAACAGTTGCCTCTCACCTGGCCCCAACTGGGGACCTGGCCAGGAGCTCAGGCACGTGACAGGCCGGCACTCAATCCACTGACACACACCAGCCAGGGCTACTTCTGTATTCTTAGTGCCTAGAACAGTGCTTAGCAGATACTAAGGACTTGATAAATAAATATTTGTTGAATGACTAAATGAATGTGTGGAACTGAATTTCGGGAGGTAATAAGAAGTGGAGACAGAAACCCAGGGACACAATGTGCCTGTGATAACTCACAGGGGCTCTGCCTGGGCTGAGAATGGGGGCCAGGGTGATGGGGGCAGACGGACACTTAAAGAATTAGGAGGGAAGAGTAGAGACAGTGAACACAGGAGGATTATTTATTACGTGCCTATGCATGCTAACTCCTTTGACGAGAACTCAGGGGAACATCCCCCAAACCACCACCTAGACTCTTTCTTCCTGGGGCCCAGCCCCCTGCTTGTGTGCGGAAGAGCCTTGCTTCTCTCTGTTGAACGAACGATGGCTTTGTGGTAGATGCTATCACCTGTTTTGTTGAGAAAGTCAGGCCTCAGAGAGGTTTAGTCTTTAGCTGGAAGCTGCGCAGCTGGTGCGTGGCAGGGCTGACCCCTGAGCCTGGACCTCTGTGCTCCTAGAGTCGACACCCTTGGCCCTTCCAACCTGCAGCCTCTGCCAGGAGAGGTTGCTGGACAAGAGACTCACGATAAGGCTCTGCTGAGAAAGAAAGAACGGGAAAGAAAATTTCTGGAAAATGTTTTGGACGTCAATCAGGTCGGCCCGTGGTGGCCTCCCAGAGTGGCGGCGGCAAGGTTGGGGGAGGCTTTGGAGGGGTGGGCCTGGCACCATGGTCGTTCTATTATCATCAGAACTAAGGACATCGACGCCAGATCTAATTTTTCTCATTGATTCCCCAGGACTGACAGCCCCCCAGGGCAGAAAACCCAGAGTGGCTGCATTGGGCTCCCTCTGCCTCTGCGCTGCGCCCCCACCGTCTCTGTCCCCGCACCGTCTCTGTCCCCACCCCTCCCCGCGCCCCGCCCCCCGGCCCCCCACCAACTTCCGGCACCTGGCAGCCACACTGCTGCTCAGTGGAGCGGGGCAGAGTCCTGGGCTGGGGGCCCTGAGCCTGGGGTCGACCTCTGACTCTCTGACTCTGGAGAGACGTTCCCCAGGCCTGTTTTCTCATCTATGTTGTGAAGAGTTGGTATTGGGCAGAGAGAAATGCTGCTGGACACTGGGGCTCACGGTTGCCGAGAGGGAGGGGCCAGTGTCCTCTCCTTCAGGGGCTTCAGAATATGAAGCAGCTCCCACGTCACTCCCAACAGCTCCTTTGAGCCTGAGCTTGAAGCCAGAGGCCATCCTGGAGGAAGGAACCTAAGCAGAGTGCGGGGATCGGGGGTGCCCCACTCTCCCCGATGGGGTGGAGGCAGTGAGGCGGGTTCAGGACACTGAGAATCCGCGCCGTTTGTCCTGCCTCGCCTGTTGCCACCTGGGACCTGCAGGGGGCAGCAGTGACCGCACTTAGATTTAGGGGTAGGGGAGGCTAGGCTCCAGTGCGGCGGCGGCGGCGGTGGCCGGGGGGCGGGAGGGTCGCAGCTTGAAAAAAGAGGAGTGGATTGTGGGAGATGGGAGGAGGACATTGGTGGGCTGCCTTCCTGGGCCTGGACCCGGGAGACAGCCCCTAGAGAGCCAGCTGTGACTCTGGACGACGCGGCCAGGAGAATTCCGTTACAGGCTTGAGCTCAAAGGCACAGGGAAGGGGCTTCCAGCTCTGCTTGGACAGGTAGATCGAGGGTGGAGCGAGGGGTGAAGGGGGCATAAGTAGACCTGAGCACCGTCAGACCACCAGTAGGTGCGCTCGCAGATTTGCCCTGTGGTAACACAGCTGTACATTCTGAGGGGCACCCTGAACACAGTCGTGCACAGAGCTACATAAGGAGGAGAACCACACTCTGGAGAGAAGTGTTTCCAGGATGCTCAGCTGTAAGCAACAGAAACCACACCCAAACTGGCTTAAATGAGGAAGGGACGTTATTAGCACCTGTAACTGAAAAGTCCAGGAGTGAATTTTTCGTGCTTTAGCTATGGCTGGTTCCAGGAGCTAAAACAATGCTGTAGGAGCCTGTCCCTCTCCATTTCCCAGCCTGGCTTTCCTCTGGGTTGGCTCCACTCTCGAGCTTGCTCCACCAGGTAGCAAAGGTAACTGTAGTTTTGGTCTTGCAACCACCTTGCTTAGCCGCCCAGCAGGGAGGATGCCTCTCTCCCATTAATTCCAAGAAAAGTCCTGGTCTCATGGCTGAAACTCTGGACTCAGGTGCCTGTGCTGAGACCTATCCCTGTCGCTAGAATGATGGAACATTGATTGGCAAGCCTTGATCATGTGCCTACCCCTGGGGCTAGGAGGGAGGTCAGCCGCTGAACCTCCCAGACTGAAAGCGGAGAACCCAAGGGGATAGAGGTTCTCGATGCTGGGAAGAGAAGGCCAGAATCCCCCAGGAAGGCTGGGAGGCCTCCAGCGTGAGCCACCCCGACACGGGCCTCAGCTGGGGGCCAGACGTTCCCAGGCTTCCAGCCATCATGCTCTGCTGCTTCTCAGTGGGATGACCTCGGGAAGGAGTCCTCTCCAAATGAGGACTGGGGTTCAAGAAGTTTGGCCTTCAGGCACCAGCACATTCTGCTCTTGGAAAAGGATCTGAAAGAGTCCTTTGGTGGGTCTCCTCCCTGGGAGTGAGTATTTTCATAGTCTTTTCATAGAAAAGGACGGTGGAGTTTCAAGCAGTGGCCAGCGGGGAGAGGCAAGATGTAGCTTTAAGAACAGAGAGTGGCTCAGAAATACATCTGGGGAGGGAAAGCGAAAGGACTTGACTGTCCTTTCTGAAGACTGGCACCTGTCCAGCTGCTGCCAGAAAGGGCAGTGGCCCATGTACCCATGTGCCATCCTTGAATGACCTGCCCCCCCAACTCTCTGCAGGTGGGTCTTTGTCTACGAGAAGGGCTACCAGACCTCAAGTGGCCTCATCAGCAGCGTGTCTGTGAAACTCAAGGGTCTGGCTGTGACGCATCTCCCAGGCCTGGGCCCCCAGATCTGGGACGTGGCTGACTATGTCTTCCCAGCCCAGGTGAGCTGACTCAGGGATGCCCCTTCTACCCACAAGTCCTGGCTCAGAGCTGGGTCAGGCTCTGTCCCCTGTCCCTGTGGGACCAGTCTGCTCCAGCCTCTCTCTGGGCTTCAGTGTCCCTGTCTGTGAACGAAAGGCAGAAGCAGCCTGCTAAAATCACCCACTGCAGCACCACGGGGTATGGAGTATCACGCCGCGTGGCACATGGGTTCTAGAGCTGCTGGGCAGTGCTTGGGTGCTTGGGCTCTTCCTCCAGCTCTCAGCCCTGCCCCTCACTTCCAGGGGGACAGCTCCTTCGTGGTCATGACCAATTTCATCGCGACCCTCAATCAGGCCCAAGGCTACTGTGCAGAGGTGAGCACGGCTGCCCATCCCTCCTTCTTCAACCAAAAGGGAGAAATGACGTGGAAGAGGAGGTCCCCTTGGGCGTCGGAGGCGAAGCTGGATAGGCTTCCTGTGGGGACCCAGGGTGGAGATTCGGGCATGGATTTGCACAAAGTAACAGGCCACTGTTGACAGCGCGGCAGCTCCCCTCCCGGCTGTATGCCAAGCAGGGTGCTGAACCCCTGTGTCCGCCTGACCTACAAGTCCCAACCTCCCCACCTCCTGCCAGCTGACATCAGCATGGGACAGCTGGGCACGAGCCTAGAACAGTCCTAGGAGGGCACCGGGGGAAGGAGGCCTTGAGCAAGGGTCACCCCGGAGGCATCGGAGTCTTTGCCCCATGCCCTGCCTCGGACCCTGCGGGCGGGGAAGGGGCTCCTCTCGGGACCCCAGCCAAGGGGCCTGGGGCCAGCAGCTCTCCCCCCAATCCAGCACCCAGAAGGGGGCGTGTGCAAGGATGACAGCAGCTGCATTCCCGGCAAGGCAGAAAGGAAGGCCCAAGGTAAGGCCGCAGCCCCCCCCCGTCCGCCTCCACAGCCCCTTACTGCTCCAGGCTGCCTCCAGCAGGAAGTCCTCTCTGCCCTCTCCCCTCCTGACTTCCTGACCTTGGCCTGCCCCGTCCCAGAGCCAGCCTCATTTCTGTCCTCAGGCCTCTGCTTTTGGGTGCCTCATCAACGAGGATTTCTAGGGGTGGGGCCTGGGGGGCCTCCCCTGCACCTTCTGCTTTGGGTGGGCACCCAGAGGTTGCTCCCGTGCTCCAGGCATCCGCACCGGCAAGTGTGTGGCTTTCAACAACACCGTGCGCACGTGTGAGATCTTTGGCTGGTGCCCCGTGGAAGTGGATGATGACATCCCACGGTAACACCCTGTCCTTCCATGTTGTTACCTGGGCTGGGAGCAGGGTCCCCAAGCCCAGACAGAGGGGATCTGGATCTGTACCCTGGACAGGTTCAGGCCCCCTTCTTCCAACCCCACCCTCTCTCTATCTGTCCCGCCCAGGCCAAAGACCCCTGGCCCATGGTCAAGGGTCCAGAAAGTCCACCTTTATAGCACACCACCCTCCACCCACCCAAGTCTGCAGGAGGATCCTGCAGGATCTCACGCCCCTCACACCCCCAGACACCATGCCAAGCTCTGGTGGGCGCACAGGGACTCCTGGGGTGGGGGCGGTGAGTGAGTGTGGTCTCCTTTAGCCCTGCCCTTCTCCGAGAGGCCGAGAACTTCACTCTCTTCATCAAGAACAGCATCAGCTTTCCACGCTTTGAGGTCAACAGGTTCGTGGGAAAAGTGGGCAAATTGGCAGGTGGCTCCCTGAGGCTGCGCCCGCTGGTCTCAGCTGCCTCTGTCACCCTCTGCTCTTGCTGACTTCACTCTGGAGGCCGGGCCCCTGGGGTGGGCTGCCTTCAGCGTCTAAGGGCTGGGGAAGGGGCATCTCTGGAGCCCATGGGGGGTCTGCCGAGCTTCAGGGCAGGACGGGCACCCTCCCAGCTGGCACACTGCTGCCACTAATGCCCTCTGCTCCACAGGCGCAACCTGGTGGAGGAAGTGAATGCCACCTACATGAAGAAATGTCTCTATCACAAGACCTCACACCCGCTGTGCCCTGTCTTCAATCTTGGCTATGTGGCACAAGAGTCAGGACAGAGTTTCAGCGCCCTGGCCGAGGAGGTACTGTGCCAGACGAGTGGGGAGGGCTGGGGCCCAGGGTCATTCAACCGATGAAGGTGTTTCAGGCCCAGTTCATCCCACCTCCAGCCTCCCTGCTGTGGGCTGAGTGTCATGGATTTCTCCTCTGATATTGGGGAGACAGGGGCAGGCCTGTGTCCTCAGCAGGGCCTGGCATGGGCCTGGCACACAGGAGGTGCCCAAAATGAGTGGACATGGGCAAGTGTTGTTCCCTGGACGTCTGCTAAGGCCCCACTGTTTTTAAAATATTAGAAAAGAACTGCTTGAATCCCATGGCCCTGAGAAATCCTGGGGATTCCAGAGGTCAAGCACCACATAGTCATCTGGGGATCCAAGAGGAGGAGGGTCTTGTTAGGAACACAGGCCTGTCTGACTGGGTTCAAAGCCCAGCTCTGTCCCTAAGGGGCGACAAGGCCTCAGAAGCCTCTTACCTTCAGTGCACCTGAGCTTTTGGGCCTGCAAAGTGGAGGCAATAATAGTACCAGTCTCATGGTGCTGTCTCAAGAACCGTGTGAGTTTGTGCGTGCAACAGCCCTTCAGGACCGGCTGGCACGCGACACCCCTGTGTCTGTGGTCCCACGTGGCTGCGAGCATCCTGCTCCTGCATCACCTCCTCAGGGATGGAAATCATCCCCTTTCCTGTGGCATCGCGCGCACGCGCGCGCGCGCGCACACACACACACACAGCACATTTGTCTAGACTAGGGGTCAGCTAACTTGTTCTTTAAGGGGCCAGAGAGTATTTTCAGCTTTGCAGGCCGCAGTTGGGTCTCTGCTCCAACTACTTAAGTCAACTGTTAGAGGGCAAAAGCAGCCACAGACAGTAAGTAAACAATTTCGCCCCTCGGCCTAGTTTGCCCACCCCTGGGGGGCGATTTACACTGTAGCAACACACAGGACCAGAAGGCTGAATGTTAGTGCTCCCTGTCCCTGAAAATCTCCACGCCAGCCCCACTAGGAACTTCTCAGCCACCACCATCCTCTGCAGGTATCAGCCTACCGCCTAGCTGCCCAGCTCCTAGCTGCCCTGCTCGGACCACCTCCCAACTCTCCTGCTGTTCAGCCCATCCCACCTGGTCCCTGAGCCTTGCCTGGCCCGGAGGAGCTTCACTTTCTCAAGTTTTCTCTTCCTAGTCCAAGTCTTGACAGACTCACTCTTTACTTCAACAACGACTCACTTGCCTCCCACACTATGACCTGAGCTAGGAACTCAGGAGTCAGTGAATGAGACAGACAACCCCACCCTCCTCCCGGAGCTTACAGTCTTAGAAGAAGTGTGTTAGTAAGTAATCATACAAAATAAACATATGATTAAAAGTGACAAATGTTCCAGAAGAAAACAGAGAGGGAGGGACAGGGACATGTTTTTAGACTGAGGTGGTGGCTGGGGAAGACCTCACAGGGGAGAAAGACCAAAGACTGAGAAAGAGCCAGCCCTGAGGGTCATGTGCAAAGGCCTGGAAGGAGGAAAAACTTGGTATATTCTAGAAACTCCCAAAATGCTGGAGTATGATTGATGGGTGGGAGGTGGGACCAGAGAGGGTAATAGGACCTGACACTGAGTCCATTTCTCAGTATCTCTTCTCAAGCCAAAAAATGTTCCCTCTTCAAGAGACTGCTGGCACCTGCTGTGAGACAGCAGTTTCTTGCCCTGGCCGGTGACTCAGTTGGAGCATCGTCCCGTGCACCAAAGGTTGCCGGTTCGATCCCAGGTCAGGGCACAAAGCCGGGGCGCATACGGGAGGCAACTTATCAATGTTTCCCTCTCACGTTGATGTTTCTTTCCCTCTCTCTCTCTCCCTTCCCTTCTCTCTAAAATCAGTTTTTTAAAAAAAAGTATCCTCAGGTGAGGATTAACCCCTGAGCCCCTAGATCTTACATGCCTGTGTCCCTGGCAGGGTGGGATGATAGGCATTACCGTCGACTGGAATTGTGACTTGGACTGGCACGTACGGCACTGCAAACCCGTCTATGCGTTCCACGGGCTGTATCAGGAGAAGAACCTGTCTCAAGGCTTCAACTTCAGGTGCCTGCCAGGCCCCCACCAGCACCCTTTCCTTGTGGTCCTATGGGTTTTTCTATTCCCAGAACCCTCGGAGCCAAGCAAGTGTCCCTGGGAGGGGAGCAGAGGAGTCTGGGCAGCTCCTGGCCTCCTGGGATTGACCAAGCAGGGAGAAGGACCTTGGAGGCCTGAGCCCCTGCCCCTGCCCCTGGCTCCTGGTCTTCTCAAGGCCCACCCGGTCAGGCTGGCTGGGGGAACTGCTGACAACAGCAGCCAGGGCGGGGGTTGAGTACAGCTTTCCTGAGATGAGGCCTGGGGTCCTGCCTGTGGCCCCCCCTCTACGGAATGTCCGGGGGCGTGAGGCTGTCTTCATGGACCTCTGAGGGCCCCTGCATCCCTGCTGCTCGGGGAGCTCCTGGCCCGAGATGCTTCTCTCACCTCCCCTGCAACCTCACCCCTTCCCCAAGGTTTGCCAGGTATTTCGTGGACAATGGCACCGACCGCCGGCACCTCTTCAAGGTGTTTGGGATTCGCTTTGACATCCTCGTGGATGGCAAGGTGAGGGGCAGTGGGAGGGACAGCCGGAGACAGGCTCTCAGGTCCCGTGAGCGCCTGTGGGGCAGCTGTGGTTACAGGTGACGGGAGGCTGGGTGGGCTTCACTCAGCAGTTCTCCTAATGACACGTGGCTGGGCTTGGGCACTGCCATGGCCACACCTCCCCCACCACCTCCCCACGTCCAGGCAGGCAGAGCCAAGGTCAACAAAACCCGGGGCTCCCGACTAGCAGCTGGGTCACCATGTCGAGCCAGAGCCTGGGCAGCAGGCGGTGGGGCCAGCTGACAGTGGAGGAGGTGCCCCCTGGCCCCAGGCCTGGCCTTAGGCGCCTCTGACTGTTATTAACCCTTTTCTCTCCGGGGTCCCTCACCAGGCTGGGAAGTTTGACATCATCCCCACAATGACTACCATTGGCTCTGGGATCGGCATCTTCGGGGTGGTAAGTGCTGGGGACATGGGAGTCACTGTGCTGGGGTCAGTCCCTCCTTGTCCACATCTCAGTAGCAGCAGTAGATCTTTTACCCCATAACTTGACTGTAATTGTTTATCCTTATTGGGCCCACCCAGCACCCTAGACCCACAGTATATCTGAGGAAACTGAGGCCCACAGCTGGGGCAGGACAGAGGTGGGGTCGGACAGTCTCGGCCCCAGCGGCCTGCAGGGCCTCATCCCCACCCCACCCCCCCACCCCCGCCCCGGGCCCTGAGGTCTGGGTTGCTCAGGACAAGGCCAGGGCTCCGCAGTCAGCACAGATGCCCAAGCTCCAGCCCCCGCCTTCCTGCCCCCAGGCCACCGTTCTCTGTGACCTGCTGCTGCTCCACATCCTGCCCAAGAGGCACTACTATAAGCAGAAGAAGTTCAAGTATGCAGAGGACATGGGGCCAGAGGCGGTAGGAGAAGTCCCTCAGTGTGGTTCTTGGAGGCCTGGGGCCCCCATGTCAGTGGTGGGGAGTCGGCCGCTCCCCGGAGGCTGACTTGTACCCCCCACATGCTCTCACAGGGTGAGCGTGACCCTGCGGCCACCAGCTCCACCCTGGTCCTGCAGGAGAACATGAAGACGTCCTGACCCTCAGCCCGTGACTCCTGATTGGACGCAGCTTCAGGTGGGGGCCCTGGTGTGGTCCCAGCCAGGGTAGAGGGGTCTCCTTGGCAGCTCTCCTGCCCTCTCGGCCAGGCAGACACCTCTTTGCTGGCAGCTCAGGGTGGACACGGGGAGAGACTTGCGCAATTCTGAGCTTTGGCTCCAACTCTGCACCCCGCCAAGAGAGCCTCACCCCAGCCTCAGACTCTCCTGGTGCGGAGGTGCTGATGCTGGGTGAGGCCCCTCCCACACCCCCCCTCCCCGAACTGGAGCTTTGTGCTTCTCCCTCTGGGCCCTCGGCCCTCCCACAGCCTCTTGTCTCTAGACCTGTGCTCTCCCTTAGGACAGCCACTAGCCACAGGTGACTATTTAAATTTAAATTAATTAAAATGGAATAAAATAAAAACTTCAGTTCCTCAAACTAGCCATATTTAACCGCTAAGTAGACACATGTGGCTGGTGGCTGCCATATTAGACAGCACAGAACATTTCCAGGGCCGCAGAAAGTTCTGTTGGAAAGCTCGGCTTGAGCCCTGTTTCCTGCTGGCTTCAGGTTTCCCTGGGGAGCTTGTCTACTGTGCAGGCCCCTGGGGCCACCCCGAACCCCCTGAACCAGAATCTCCAAGGCTGGCCACATGATTTGCAAGGACAGCAAACTTGCCAGGCCATTTCAAGGACCTGTGTTTAAAATGCCTCTGATCAGGTGTCAGACTTAGCCTGGGCCTGCATCCCCTGGCAGGTACTGGTAGTGAGCAGGTGTGTGTCGTGCTCACAAGCCACACAGTGTTTTGTGCACACACCCTCACGTGCACGCTCCGCTGATTGCACATCCCCCTTCTATTCACACGATGTATTTGAACAGCTTGGGTCCTGTAAACACAACCATCTGAACACACCTACACCCCAAGTGCAGACACCAGGTCCATGCCATGCCAACTCCTTGAGAAATGCTTCCCCCTAAGCGCGTCAGGCCAGGACAGCTCCTTCAGCCATGAATCCTTACTCAGCTACCTCTGCTCAGGCGGGAGCCTTGGCCAAACCCTGGGCTCTGTGCCTGTGGCCCAGCCCCAGTCCCCAAGGCCTGCCCAGCTCTGTCTGAACACAAGGTCTGGGGAAAGTGAGGGGTGGAGTACAATACAAGGAATGAGGACAAACCTCCGCCTTCTGCAGTTTCTTCTGAGCCCTCTCTGAAACTCGGCGTCCCCATCTGTGAACCGTGGGGTTGAACTGAGTGAACTTTGACGCCCTTCTGGATCTGTTGGTGGGTGGTGGTGAGCTGACACTTTGCCCTGAGTCCAGCAGGGTCACTGCTGGGGGTTAGATCACCTCCGTCCACGGGCCACTGTCCTGGCACAGCCCTGAACGTTGGAGCTCTTCCCATTCCTCCACAAGCCCCGCCCATGCTGTAGGAGGCCTGGGGCTCGGGCAACAGAGAACCAGGCTCAGCAGCGGCCTCATGAAAGCAGAGGTGAGGGAGGTCTTGGATGATGACAATGTAGAAGGATTCCCAGGGGTCCTGGCACGGGCATGACCACCGGTCTGGACTTACGGTCAGGCAGGGTTTCAGGGCACCCCCATCACCATGCTCTGGCTAGACCAGTGCCGTCCAATAGCAATGATGAAGTGTTTTCCATCTGTGCCTGTCGTGGTCACTAACCACATGTGGCCATTGAGGACTTAAAATGTGGTGAGTGCAACCAAGGAATGGAATGTTTTCTTTTATTCACTTTTAATTAATTTAAATTGCCACACAGGGCTAGTGGCTACCATATTAAACAGCACAGGATGGCAGGCCCTTGGCCTTCTGCCCTCCTCCCCAGCCAAAAACCATACTTCAGATTTTACAAGACAGGAACCGCCTCTTCTTCCCTCTCTTCCTTCTCCAGCCCTACCTGCTTTTGCGCCCCCTGCCCCCATTCCTCCTGAATGAGTAGAGGAGTCCTCCTTTGTATCTATCCTTTCTACCCCACCCAGAGACCTTGCAGCAGAGGCGGCCACTCCTCTCCCTCAATCCTGTATTTGCTCCCTTCTTGCGCCTCCTCCTGGCCCATTTCCCCCGCAGCTCTGCCTGCTCCCCCTTCACTGTTACCATTCCAGAAAGACCAGTCTTCACTTCCCTCTGTGTCCCACCCTCTGCAGTTGGCCTCCAGCCCCCGCCCCCACTCCTCCTAGATGCCCTTGCCAAGTGACCAGCGGCATCGTTGCTGCCAAATCCAAGTAGACACTGCAGCTGTATCCTGCTTGGCCTGTCTGCATCTGACACTGTTGACCAAGCCCTCCCTTGTTGAAAGGTCTCCTTCCAGCAGCTTCTAGGACTCACCCTCTCCTGATTGTCCAGCCAACCTGCTGTGCAGGCTGCCACAGGTCACTGTGTGTCCTTGGGCAAGTTGCTTGACGCTCCAAGCCTCCTCTGTGAGAAAAGGATAATAATAAAATTATTTTATTATCTCAATAATAATTGGGACAATAATAAAATATGAAAGGGCCTAGCACAGAGCCTGGTGCCTAGTAGTGCAATAGTTTCTCTTTCAATAGTGGAGTCACTTAGTTGTCCCCAGATATCTATTCTCCCTATAGCGATACAACCCTAGGTTCTTAGCTGATATGTGGCTGCCTAGAATGAAAGCTGCATTTCCCAACCTCCTCTTGCAGTTGGATCTGGTCCTGTGACTAAGTTTTAGCTAATGAAACATATGTGAAAGTGTGAAGTGACACGTTCTGGGGACCTTCCTTAAAAGACGGCTGGTGCAGATCCTTTGTCCTTTTCTTCATCCTTGTCTTCATCCCACTGCCTGGAATGCATATGTGATGGCTGGAGCTCTAGCCACCATCCTGAACCACGAGGATAAGTGATATGCCCACAAGTTGCTAGAGCAGTGAGTGGAAAGAGCCACATCTGGAAAGTCTTTGTGGAGTACAACTGACACACCAGCCCAGGACTGTCTTCCCTGAAGCTCTCATGCAGTATTTCTGTTACCTAAGTCAAAACTGGAACAGAAATCTTTCCCCCTTAAAAGTAAATGCTCTCTCCTTGGCCTGTGCTTCATTCGCTCTGGGTTATTGAACCCTTTCCCATTGCTCTACTTACAATTATGGGTCCTTTCTGACAAGTTCCAAAACTGTCTTGCTGGCCCAGCCCTCTTTCTTGAACTCCAACAGCACATACCCCACCCCCTAATTACTGTATACATTGGCTGTTCATTTGACAAACATCTTTTGAGTGCTGGATGAATCAGGTAGTCCCTGCCCTCAAGGAGCTCTCCACTCCAGAGGGAGGACAGGCAGATAAACAGATGCTCATTACAAGGAAGTCCTTGGGAGGGGCTGGTGACCCACACTGGGCAGTGAGGTCAGAGGGAAGGGTTCTGGCAGAGGGGTATTGAACCAAGCCCTGAAATGAGTTAGGCAGGTGGTCAGGACTGAGGTGATGGATATTGGTGAGCCATGGAAGACCCCTAAGCAGGGCTGACTAGCTGGGTTTGTGTTTCTGAAAGATGGCTCTGGCTGCCAGGTGGAGAAAGGCTATTGGAGTGGGGTGGGAAGACTGGATAGGGGTGGGAGGCTAGTGAGGAGGCTGCTGCAACAATCCAGAAGCAAGATGATAGTGGCCTGAGCTAAGGGGGAGCAGAGAGGTAGAGACGTGGCTGGATTCCAGGGCTATTTAAGAGGCAGCATGGGCAGGGTTGGTGATGGACTGGTTGGGGCAGGAAAGGAGTAGCCTATGGTTACTGGCTCCAGACTAAGACAGAAACACATGCGAGGCCAGGTTTGGGCGGCGGGGGGGGGGGGCGGGGGGGGGCGGCTCTGTCTTGGGCAAGTAGTGGGGTGAGGTCCCAGAGGGTTCACAGGTGGAGAACTTAGCATAACTGAACCAAGAGTTGTTAAGTTCTTAAGGGGAGGGGTTCGGGGGAGCGGGGGCCGGATAGAGTCCCCAGAAATAGCCACCGTGAAGGTCAGGCCATCCTGTAGGGTCCCCTCCATTCCCTCTGGCCCAGCTAGGCCATCCTGTTGCCTACTCACAGAGCCCTTCCCCAAATATCAAACCGCTTCCGTCTCCCTTACCCCTACCCAGCAGACGGCTAAACTCCTGACTGCCATTCAAGGCCTTTCCCCTAGTCATTCAACCTCGACCCCGCGCACTGTTGTCATTCTCGCCTTATCCCTCCCCTCGTACGCACCTCGCCTCAACCACTCCCCCTCCCCGGCCCCGGGAGGGGCGCTCTTGCCCCTGCCAGGCTGAAGCTGGAGGGGACAAAGCATTTTCCGGGGGAAGCATCCGTGCCCTCCGGGTTCCGCTAGGAGACTCAGGCCGCGGCCTGGAGGAATTTGGGGTACTCCAGGCTGCCTGCTTCAGGGCGTCGGGGGTGCAGAAGGCCCGGCCCCACAGCAGTGGGAGACGCCCCTCGGAGGCAAGGGCCAGTCACGACCCCTCCCCTCCAAGAGCCGGGCGGGAATCCCGGGCTGTGATTGGGCAGTTCCAGGGAGGCCGCGCGGTCTGACCAATGAGCGCGGGCCCGGTGAGGCGGCGGGCGGGGGAGCAAGCGCTGCCTGGAGCTGAGGCGCCGGCGGTCAGAGCGGGGTGATCCCAGCCCGGACGCGGCGGGCGGGGTGGTGCGCGCGCCGCGGGAACGAGCCTGGTCGCCCGGCGGGCCAAGGAGACTGTCACCCGGCGACGAGGTAGGAGTCTGCGGGGAGGGCATCTGGATCTGGGAGCGGGAGGGGACAAACGCCTGAACGTCTGCTGGGAGCCTGCGGCGGAGACCAGGACCTCTACCGTGCGGGGAACCTCCCCCTTATATCTACTGGGCCGGGTCTTCTACGTGGTGCCTCCCGGAATCTGCTTCTGTCTGCGCCGGCAGCCGGGACCGTCTTTGCGGGCGCCCCCGCCATCTCCGTCCTTAACGCAGCCCAGGTCCGCGGGACTGCGTTCGTACCCGACGCACTACCCACCCCCGCCCCAGCTCTTGGTGAGAGGCTATGTCTATGCGGAGTGGGCCCAGACGGGTGCACCCACGTGTAAATATGCGCGGAGCGCTCCTCCCATACGGCCCTCCCTTGAGTCTTCCTTCAATAGCTGGGGTAGGGGGCGGGGGCTGAATGGGACTGATGAGGCGTGTGGCCTTAGCTGCGCGGTCCTCCCCTGGCTGGGGCCGGGTGGAAGGGGAAGGAGAGGGGCGGTGGAGGCGGGCGCTGCGGCTTCTGGGGCGAGACAGGCACAAAACTGGTAGCTGGGAGGGTGCACACGTGCGCGGGGACGTGTGTGTGTGTGTGTGTGTGTGTGTGCTGTTTGGAGGTGGGTGTGCATGTGTCACGTGGACACCGGAGTGTGCTTCTGTGTGTGTGTGGGTGCATTACTGGGATAGAGTGGTGTGTGAGGGTGGGTCACACGAACATCGGCACGCGCCTGTCCCGGAGTGGGTGTGTGTGTGTGTGTCTTGAAGGTACAGGCATGTGTGGAGGTTATGTCCCAGGTCACAGGACTGCACCCTGGTGGATACATAGGGGCTTGTATATCTACCAGGTGGGCCCAGGAGTCCAGGAGGAGCATACAGCTTGTGTCCTTGAGGATCCCAGGGAAGATGCATTAGCCTCCCCCACAGCCCTCACTCCTTCATTCATCACATACAGATTGAACACCTACTATGTGCCCAGAATGTGTCCTAGGCCCACAGACTCTGGTGACACCTATCTCCTCTTTGGTCTCTTACCCTCAATCCCCACAGCAGGCAGAGAGGTATCCTTTTAAAACTCATCGTTGTGAGTCATTCCCCTGCTCAAAATCCTCCTCTGGCTTTTCAGGCCCTTCTGGTTCCTGTCTACAATCCACGCCCGCCCCCGCCCCCCCGCAAGACAGTCCCTGAGTCCCAGCCAGGAAATGGCTCTCTGTCAAGCACAGTGTGAACTTCTGTCCTCTCCCCTTCCGAAATCCTTACATAGTGGTCATGAAAGAGCTTAAATGCCACCTCCTCCAGGAAGCCATCCTTGAGGCTAGGCACAGTGAACGACAGGGCTTTCTCATCCAGGTGTAACTCCGATTGCCATCCGGTACCTCTCATGCTGAACGCCCGTCTCCAGCCACATTGACCTCCTTGCTGTCCCTCAGAGAGAGTGAGCACTGTTCCACTTCACAGCCTGTATAGCTGCTGGTTCCTCTGCTTGAAA